CTACTCCCCCCGACCACCGATGATGGGCCACCTTCTACGGCCCGTGTAAGATCTCCGCTATCACGAACCCCCTCAATCCCAGAGGATCTCCTCTCCATGATGACACCTGTCGTAGAAACGGCCTCAACGTATGGTATGAGCACAGGTTCCGCCTCCAGGGCAACGAATTTTTCCGGCTCAACGTCAGCGACAATGGCCTTCCCGGTCTCCACCCTTCGTCTTTTTCTCGACAATGTCTCCTCGACATTATATGGTCCATTTACAAGGTGAAAGATGGACTGAGAAGAGATCTCATCCCGCACGGCAATAGTTTGAGGGGCGGAGTCCCTCATTGGCAGAGCTTGAGTCCGATCTCCTCGAGCCGACTCGGCCAAGGCAAATTGCATCCTAGCCAACGTGATAGCTTGGTGAAATGCAGGCACTAGAGCCTTGGTCTTCTTGGAAACTCGCCGACTTGGCACCAAAGGGGGGTCGCATCAAAAAGCGATGGCAAGCAAAAATAAGCTGAGGTAGAAATGACACTTACTGGACGGGGTCTTGGGTCCAAAATGCTTGTGAAAGGATGCCCAATCGTGAATTCTTACAGCGTGTGGTAACACGCGAGCCAACCAATCTTCAATATCGAAGACGGGAGAAGGTGCACGCCTCTAAGCTGAAAAACAAGGAAGTCGCGAGTAAGTCAAAAATGAAAAAATAAAAGAAAATAACGAGCATATGGTGAGATACTTACGATTATAGTTCCATTATTCGAGAAACCCAGTAGGATTCGCCACCAGGTGCTCGGTTTTGACGAAAAAATACTTATGCTATAACCGTCGGTTCATCTTGTCATCCATCCCGGTCACCAACCCTTTGATCCCACGATGCCGTAGATGTATCAATGTACCTCTATAAAAGCTAGGCAAAAATAGATGGAGCAGGTGGCGAATATTGACCTCGCAACCGGCCAACTCTGCATACTTCGCCAGCATCAGAAAAACATTATACAAATAATGGGAGAGTTACATCGGGCAGACGTTGTAAAATCGGCAAAATTCCTCTGCTAATGGGGAGAGGAAGAGAATAACCGATTAAGAACGGATAGACGTACAAGGCACAATACCTGGGTCGGTGAACCTCTAGGATGTCACCCCCGGCCGGAACAATTTCGACGTGAGGAAGAATATGATATTTAGGTCGGATGTCGGCTATTTGAGACAGTCCCGTCTCAAAAAGCTTCTGAGCAGGTGCGGGAGCGGGTTCCTTTGGGAAGTCATGTTTGACCAAAGGGTTCTTGGGGACCACCTCCACGGTGGGCAAGCTTTCCTCCTCTTCAACCATGAATTCCTCACCGTCGGGAGGAAAGGCCACTGATAAAGGAGTGGCATTGGAAACTTCGTCGTGAATATGAGGGGATGTTGACATATTCACGTGGTGAAACCAAAGCAACAAAGTTTGAAGAAGAAGATATCAATTGGGCAAGAAATCATGGACTGGAATTGAAGAGGCTGCAAGAGACTGAAAGCGGAGATCGAAGAAGAATATCAAAGAAAACAATACACATGCGAAATGAGAAATTATGAAAATCATCGAAAATGAAGCCCCCTCCATCTATTTATAGGGTTGGGTGGCACCAGAATCGAAGCAAAGGACCGTCAATGGCACCAAAATCGAAATGCCAAAGGCACAGACGTTGCATGGGGAAGTCGCGCAATAATGACGCACGTGGTGATGACGTCACCTCGTGTTAGCCATGCCACCGCAGCCCTGCTGGCTATGCTATTTTATCAGCCTCGACCGGTTCGATTCAATCAACACGACCAAATTTCTTCTCAAGGGCTGCAGACCGGATCCGCTCATCGAGAACGTGCAAGATCACGACCTTGACGAGCGAAAGGACTAACTGTATTGGTCTAAATTTGGGTGGCTTGATAACTTCAAATAAAACATGATGAAGGATAGAGCCGACCACGGCACAATGGTGAGGAGTCGTCTTAAGAAGGATTATTGCCGAGGTCAAGCAAAGGGGGGAAGAAAGCAATGGTAGGATAGTTTAGCAATAGATCTAAGGAATATTCCATTGGATATTCTCTAGGTTGTACTCTTTAGTATTTCTTGGCGATAACCCTTATAAATAGGAAGAGATAAAGAACAAAAAGGAGCTTCTTCACTTTTTGATAAGAGCACTTGTAAAGGGTTGACTACAAAGAATATACGAAAAGGCTTGTCTTGTTCACTGTTTATGTTGCTCAACGCACGTAGTTCACTCTTTGTTTACAAGTCCAAAGATTCCCTATCCACCTTCATTTATCACTATCCCACGTTGTTGTCAGGAAGATGAATCACCCAAACCATCTAACATTTGGCTGATAAATTCCTCTTTATTATATTTATTGCCATTATCTGCATTTATTGCATGTTCTTATTATAACATTCATTGACATTCATTGAATACATATCTCATCTTTGTCGAGCATAAACACGGTCCCATCCCACGAACCTGTCTAAGTTTTTTATCTAAAATTTATTATATCTAACTAGGATTCAGCCTCTATTCCCTCATTAATTTAACAAGAATCTTAACACTTTTTGATCAAACCATAGTGAATGGTTGTTATATAAAGATGCTATTATAGAGATGTCTGACTGTATAAGCGTAAAACTACAAGAGAAATTACTATTATTAAGCTAAAGTTGAGGGGGGAAACAATTACGTCGCTGGAAAAAATGCGATGTACATATTTGTGAAATTCCAAGAACACCCCCACCCTCTCCCGGTCATTTGTCCCTTCAACTTTTCCCGACAGCTATTTGCTTTGCCCTAATTAAACTTTTGTGGACATTGATTTAAAAGATACATTAGTATTTACCAGATTTTGGGCTCAAATACGTTTCAATCATGTTTTTAAGACTAGTTATTCGTTGATATTGAGTGAGAATTTGATATATTGCTGCATCATATTTTAAAATTATGATTTGGAAAGTCCCAATGAATGAAATAACTCTTCAAGTTCAACGAATGGAAAAGGAACCGGCAACTGTCTAATGAAGCTTTAGCTGTGGCGAAATTAGGATTTTTATCAATGGGATTTAAAAATAAATAAGTAAATACGTGAAAAAGATAAAGAAATTCAATGTCTAATATATATACAGTGACACAATTTACTACTTCCTTCGGTCCATAATAAGTGACCAATTTACTTTTTTATTTTGGTCCAAAATAAGTGTTATATAATTATAAACTCTCTAGCCATATTGAAGAGTTTAAATGGATTAGTATTATGTATGATTATACGCCTAAATATTGCAAGCCTTGCAAGAAACAAGGGCATAGTGAGGCAGAATGCTGGGTAATTCATCCTGAATTACACAAGAGATTTGATGAAGATGTGGAGGATCAAGGCAAGGAGAAGAGTAGTTGTGGTGAGCACTAAAGCAATTGGTACAACTGCAAATTCAACAAAGGTTCTGTCAAGTGGAAAGGTGGTTGGTAAGCCTGCTACAAATCATGCCAAGCAGGAATGGATACAAGTAAGGAAGAACAAATACCAACGGGAATCAGGGTCACATTGTTGATAATAAACAAGGTAAGGAAGCTAACAAGGGTAAAGGGAAGGCCAAACTTGAGGAAGTAGCAACCAAGAACAAGTTTAATGCACTAGAGGTTGAGGAAGTTCATCAACCTACTCTAAAAATTACTGAAGGCAAAGGTGATGATCATAGCAATGGTGGGGAAAAGCAATCAAAGAAGGGCCATGAGAAGGAAAAATAAGGTAATACCGGAGTGACAAGCCTCAATCCTAAGGCTTCTGGGGTTAGGGTTGGGAAGGATGCTAATACTAAACAAACGGGAAAAGGTAATCAACAAGAACTTAAGCGTGTAAAGAAGGAAGCAGTTGAGAAAGTGTTGGAAGAGCAGCATAATGGGAACTTAGCTAAGGCTAATCCTATTATTCCTAGTGATCAAAGTTCTAATGAAAAGGCTATTAAGGGATCCACAATCGACTGGGTTCATAGAAGGTTTGGAACTAGCAAAGAGGAGCTAAGGCAACTCAATGTGACAACAAACAAATCATGTCAAGATATTCCATCTCAAACATTTGCAGATTCTGGGCAGCTTGAGAACCTTGATGAGATAAACTCAACAAAGGTTGTAGGGAGTGACGCAATTGAGGTGGAGGATGATCAACTAGGCACGACAAAGACAACAGGAGACAAAGTGAGGGACAGCAGCCCACTTGGCGATAGGCTGGCGATGACAGGCCTAAATCCAGGCTCCCCAGGCGTTAGGCTGGTGACGTTAGGCCTAAAGCTAGGTACCCCAAGCATTCGGCTCACAACGCCAGGCCTAGCGCCAGGGTCACCTGATGAAGCAATGATAGTTAACCCTATCCCTAGTGCAACTGGCAAGATTTTGGCATATGTAGATGGTGTTCCGGTGTATGCATTGGAGAACAAACTTGATGATAATGTGAAGGTTAGGGATTATACAGTAGGGGCAGAGAATAGCAATGAAAAGAATGATGAGCAAGCAATTGTTCTAAGAGCATCTGGTAAATAGAGGAAGTGTCTATGGAATATGGCACTGATCTAATTATGCAGCTGCATCTTAATGTTCCACTGAAGACTCCACTACAACATTTACATGATTTAGTTACACACAATGTGGCACCAATTGATGAAGACTTAATGAGACAAAATCCTAGGGAGGATGAGGGAGATATGAATCAATAGCAGAAAACTTAAAACATGTGGCTAGGGATGGGGACCTATTACCTACCGCTAGTGCTAAAGGAGCAGAATAAAGAGTCACAACAACCTTTAAGAATTATGCCCAGGAGGGCAGCTTCTCTATCTAAATGATGATCAAAACATTAATATGGAATATAAGGTCTGTGAATACACAGCCGGCCTTTCCTAGAGTGATCAACATGAATAGGGAGCATAACTTTTGTGTAGTTGTATTGATGGATCCTTTTCAAAAGAAGAGACTCATTGATAGATATAGAAGAAGGTTGAATATGGAGACGGCTTATGCAAATATTAATGGGCAAATTTGGTTGTTCTGTGATGCAGTGGTGGAATGGGAATTAGTGGAGGATACCGAGCAACATGTGACTGTGAGAGTGCTTCACCATGACCTGGGGAAGCACATGATGATGACATTTGTTTATGAAAAATGTTCAGCAATGGAGAGGTTGGAATTGTGGGATCACTTGAATTACTTAGCAAGTGATATGAAATTGACATGGTTGGTAGGAGGGGATTTCAATGTGATATTACATGAAGATGAGAATATAGGAGGACTACCAGTACACCCACCTAAATATGAGGATTTTGCATTTTGTGTAAACTCTAGTGGTTTGTTTGATCAAGGATACAAAGGAAGTCCATTTACATGGTGAAATGGGAGATTTAATGCTGCGTGTATATTCAAAAGATTGGATAGGATCTTTGTGAATTTGTCATTTTAGAACATGTTGCCAACTATTGAAGTTGAACATCTAATCAGAACTGGATCAGAACATGCGCCATTGTTAATGACATGTGGGGAGCAGACCACCAATTTTGTCAAGCCTTTCAGGTACTTGAACTTTTGGACTAAACATGATGGATGTGGTGATGCAGAATTGGGAAGCTGATTTCATAGGGGATCTTTTTTTTTATGTTCAAGCAGAAGCTCAAGAGGATGAAGGCAGCACTGTCAAAATGGAGTAGGGAAACATTTGGTGATATCTTCAAGAAGTTGGCTATTTTGGAAGACATTGTTAGGGTGAAAGAGATGTTGTTTGAAGAAGAGCCTACGATTGAGAATAGGATTGTGCTTCAAAAGGCTCAATCTGAATTGAAGAAATACTTGAGTATTGAGGAGAAGTATTGGAAGCAAAAAGCTGGGATGACTTGGTTTGCTGAAGGAGATAGGAATACAAGTTTCTTTCAAAATTATGTCAATGGCAAAAGAAAGAAATTGCAACTAAAGAGGATCAAAAGTGGGAGTGGGGTATGGATTGAATACCAGGAGTAATTGGCTACATCTGTTGTGGACTTATATCAAAAACAATTCACAAATGAAGGTGATACATCTGACTTTTCCTTGATCAATAATGTACCATCGATGGTCACTATGGAACAGAATTTGGAACTTAGCAGATTGCAACAATTGATGAGGTAAGGACAACAATTTTTAGGCTTAGTGCGGAGAGTGCTAGTGGTCCGGATGGATTCACTGGCATGTTTTATCAAACATGATGCGATGTTATTGGTGCTGATATACACTAAATGATGCTACACTTCTATGGAAGAGCTGCACTGCCTAAATCCATCACTCACACCAACCTAGTGTTGCTGCCTAAGAAAGCTAGATTGGGGGTTTGGACCTCGATTTGAGGTCCGATTTCAAAACAAATTATATATTTGAGTTCGTGGGGGAATGGGTGATCGGGTTTTGGTTCGAACCTCGGTTTTGACCATGTGGGCCCGGGGCGATTTTTGACTTTTTGGGTAAAACTATGGAAAATACATTTTTATGCATTCGAATTAATTCATTTAGCGTTTATTAATGTAAATAAGTAACTTGTGACTAGATACGGACGAATTGGTGGTGGAATCGAGGGGTAACGCTATAGTTGAAGCGTGAACTGTGCTCGTGGCATCGAGGTAAGTGTTTGGTCTAACCTTAGCTTGATGGATTAGGAGTTGCATCTATTTGCTACGTGTTAATTGTGGAGTACGACGTATAGGCATGGTGACGAGTATCTATACGTTGGTGTCAAGCATGCCCGTGAGTCTTATGTTATAATTTGTTATAACTCCGTTGTGGTTTATTATGCCTCACATGTTATTATCATCATTGTTCCCTCGCCGGGATGTTTGTTTGATATTATTGTTCCCTTGTCGGGATATTGTTGAGATATCATTATTCCCTTGCCGGGATGTTGTTGAATTATTAATGTTCCCTTGCCGGGAAGTTATTATGTTGTTCTTGTTCCCTTGTCGGGATTCCTTATGATTATTGTTGGTTGTAAATGGGAGCGGGTGGTACGCCTACCACAAGATATAATGAAATGGGAGCGGATGGTACGCCTACCACAAGATATAATAAAATGGGAGCGGGTGGTACGCCTACCACAAGAGATAATGAAATGGGAGCGGGTGGTACGCCTACCACAGGATATAATGAAATGGGAGCGGGTGGTACGCCTACCACAAGACATAATGAAATGGGAGCGGGTGGCATGCCTGCCACAAGATATGAGAAATGGGATCGGGTTGCACGCCTGCAACAAGATCTGAAAAGAAAGTGAAATCTACTTTTGTTTCCTTATTCTTGTTAGTGGTTGGATTTTGATCCCTTTAAAATTCTCTTGATATTCTGTTTTTACCTGTTATTCCCCGAAGCATGTTTCCCCCTCCCATCTTTACTTTTTTACTTCTGTATTTCTTTTTCGCTATATATATATATTTGAACTGCACAGGTTTATGTGGTAGTCTGGTTCTAGTNACCTTGCCGAGGTTAGGCTAGGCCATTACCCAGCACATGGGGTCAGTTGTGCTGATGCTACACTCTGCACTCTTTTGTGCAGATCCCAGTGCTATTGACTTCGGACAGTAGATCAGTTGGCTACCTTCAGTCCACACGTAGATCCAAGGTAGACCTACAGGCGTCCGTAGGCCCTAGCGTCTCCTCTATCTTCTATTCCCTGTTTCATTTTCCTTATTTCAGAAACAGTGTACTGTTATTTCTTCAGACTTTGTGTGTAGTGAATCTTAGACTGTCTGTGATACTGTGACACCAGGTTTTGGGTGGTTAAGGCTTGAGTAATTGTAATAGACATAGATTCCCGATATTTCATTTCATTATTTTCTTATGCTTAATTTAACTTCCCGTTTTTTATACGTTATCGCTTTGTGTTTGATAAAAAGGAATAAATGGATAATGAAGTAATTAGTTTCAAAGAATTGGCTTACCTAGCTCACATTAGTAGGTGCCATCACGACTCCCGAGGGTGGGAAATCCGGGTCGTGTTAAGTTAGTATCAGAGCTCTAGGTTACATGGGTCTCACAGTTCACAGACAAGCTTAGTAGAGTCTGAGGGATCGGTACGGAGACGTCTATATTTATCCCCCAGAGGCTACAGAGTTAGGAAAATCTCACATCTTTTCTCTCCTGTCGTACGGTTTGGTTTCTCAATGCTGATTGAATTTCTATTATGTTCTCTCGCAGATGTCGAGAACATGCGCTTCCTCATCCGCCGATCGGCAGCCGAGCCCCCAGCAGTAGCTCCCACGAGGGGCAGAGGCCGAGGCCGTGCTTGAGGTCGAGGTAGGGGCAAAGCTCCGCCCAGAGCAGCAACACCAGCAGCGGAGCCTTAGGTTGATGTTGATGATGAGGTTCCGGCCCCAGCAAATCCGGTCGGCCCAGCTCAGGTCCCAGAGGGGTTTATTGCCACCCCAGTTCTCCAGGATGCTCTGGTCCGTCTAGTGGGCCTTATGGAGAGTGTCACCCGGGCAGGCTTGCTTCCTGTAGCACCAGTCGTCTCTCAGGCTGGAGGAGGAGCCCAGACTCTTGCTAGTCGCACTCTGGAGAAGGTAGCTCCCCAGTTTTAGACTCCAGTAGTTCCGCCAGTTGGAGCAGTTCAGCCGGGTGTGGTAGCCGAAGAAGTTCGATGCAGTGTGGGTCATTGTTGATAGGCTGACCAAGTCAGCGCATTCAATTCCTGTGGCAGTCTCCTATTCTTTCGAACGGTTAGCTGAGATCTATATTCGGGAGATTGTTCGTCTTTATGGTGTGCCCGTGTCTATCATTTCGGATCGAGGTACGCAGTTTACCTCATATTTCTGGAGAGCAGTTCATCGAGAGTTGGGAACACGGGTTGAGTTGAGCACAACGTTTTATCCTCAGACGGACGGGCAGTCCGAGCGGACTATTCAGATTTTGGAGGATATGCTCCGAGCCTTTGTCATTGACTTTGGAGGCTTGTGGGATCAATTTTTGCCTTTAGCAGAGTTTTCCTACAACTACAGCTACCAGTCGAGTATCTAGATGGCTCCTTATGAGGCTTTCTATGGTAGGCGGTGTCGGTCGCCGGTTGGATGGTTTGAGCCGGGAGAGGCTCAATTGTTGTGCACGGATTTGGTCCAAGATGCCTTGGACAAGGTCAGGATCATTCAGGACAGGCTTCGTACAACTCAGTCCAGGCAAAAGATTTATGCCGACCGCAAGGTTCGAGATTTGGCTTTCATGGTCGGTGAGCGGGTATTGCTTCGAATGTCGCCTATGAAGGGTGTGATGAGATTTGGGAAGAAGGGAAAGCTTAGCCCTAGGTTCATTGGTCCGTTTGAGATTATTGATCGAAAGGAGAGGTGGCTTATAGACTTGCATTGGCGCCGAGCTTATCAGTCGTGCATCCAGTGATTCATGTGTCCATGCTTCAGAAGTATCACGGCGATCCATCCCACGTGTTAGATTTCAGCACTGTCCAGTTGGACAAGGACTTGTCCTATGAGGAGGAGCCAGTAGCTTTTCTAGACTGGCAGATTCGTCAGTTGAGATCAACGAGTTTTCCTTCTGTTCGTATTTAGTGGAGAGGTCAGCCTCCTGAGGCATCGACATGGGAGTCCGAGTCTGATATACGGAGCCGTTATCCCCATCTTTTCCCCGACTCAGGTACTTCCTTTTTCTGTCCGTTCGAGGACGAACGATTGTTTTAGAGGTGGAGGATGTGATGACCCAAAAGGTCAACACTTGTTTTTAAAATGAATTCTTCGTTCCGAGGCCTTAAAAACCTCTTTTAGCATCACCTCGATTTGCGTGCGCAGTCCGGGCATGTAGCCAGAAAGCCTATATGTGAAAATCTGTGAAAAATGGTAAATTTTGGCTATAAATTGAATTTATTTGACTTCGGTCAACGTTTTGGGTAAACGGACCCGGACCCATGATTTGACGGTCCTGGAGGGTCCGTAGGAAAATATGGGACTTGGGCGTATGCCCGGAATCAAATTCCAAGGTCCCAAGCGCGAGAAATGAATTTTTGAAGAAAATTGTTTTCCGAAATTGTTTAGAGGATTTGGAAATGAAATTTGATTAGAAATTGTTGGTATCGAGCCCGTATTTTGGTTCTGGCGCCCGGTACAGGTCTTATACATGATTTAAGATAATTCTGTGAAGTTTGGTAAGAAACGGAATCCGTTTGACGTGATTCGGACCTTAAATGCAAATTTGATGTTTAAAGAAGTTTTGAGAAATTTCACTGATCTTGAGGTTTAATTCGATGTTCATTATGTTATTTTTGTTTTTATGTGTTTTGTTTCCTCCTTTCCTAAAAGGAACTTATATTAGTTGTGTGCCCGCGTCGCATGCATGATTCGCGAGCGAGGTGTCTGTTCAAATATGTTGACCGCGTCGCATGTATGATTCGCGAGCGGGGTAATTGGAATTCCTTTTTAGAGTTCGTTTTCCTTTTGTATCGCGTTCGAATTGGTGGCCTATTGGCACATTGCGGCATCATATGAGACTTTTGACCATGTCCGAGGTGGCTTATTGCCTGAGCAGTTCGTACTGGGTGAGACAAGATCATTGGACTTAGGATCAGTGCAATCTGAATATATGAAGTATATTAAGAAGCAAAGACCATTATTTGGTTCAGAAAGAGGTGATGGTTCTTGACAGGATTATAGACCCTATGAATCGTTGATTCGGCAGTTGGTTATGAATTCCTACACATCTCTTCTATCGTGGTGGTATTGTAAGAGTTAGAGCAAGACCTGTGTAGGTCATGAGGTGCAATGAGAGCATCAGATTCGTGTAATTCCGATTTGTTCGATCAGAGAATGCTATCCTGTGAGTAAAGTGGTGAAAGGTGTGACAACTAAGATATGAAGTCATGTTTTGGTGCTGCGTGTAGTTATTGATACGGTGAGCGTATGTTAGAACAGGCCTGACAGAGAATTCCGGATGATGGAATTGGGCTCTAAGGCTTATTTGCTTAAGTGAAAAAGGATACCTTCAGATTGACTGAGCTAGGG